TATATATATATGCATATATATATGCAAACTTATGGATTCATTAATTTGTTTTCAATGAAATAGATTTTATTTAAGATAATTGTAATTTGCTTAGTCGGTGTGATTAAGGGCATAGTATGTAAGGTGGGTAAAAAATTGTACATCATTATTATAATTCTATATCAGGGGCAAAGATGAAAATTTTCAAATAATTTATCAGTTTTCCTTTTTGAAAATGTAATATATAATTTCATGCTTAAGATTATGACACCTAGGTGCTACAAGTACAAATATCAATTAAACTTTGAGTGTTGGATATGTTTGTAAATAGAGAAGAAATGTGAGATATGTTTGTAAATTTCTGTTTTATGTTTGTAAATAGAGAAGAAATGTGAGATATGTTTGTAAATTTCTGTTTTATGTTTGTAAATAGAGAAGAAATGTGAGATATGTTTGTAAATTTCGGTTTTAAGTTTTTGTCTTGCAAACATAAATTGTACTTATTAACCATATCAATCATTTTGAACAGGCTTTAATTGCAGCTGGAACAGACACTACATCCGTGACCATGGAATGGGCGCTCTCTCTTCTCCTGAACCATCCCAACACATTAAAAAAGGTTAGAGATGAGATAGATTTTCACGTAGGACATGACCGTCTGATCACAGATTCAGATCTCCCTCATCTTCCCTACCTTCAAAACATAATCAAAGAAACTCTCAGACTATATCCAGCGGGTCCACTCTTACTCCCACACCATTCATCCGCAAACTGCACTGTAGAGGGTCGCCAAATTGCAAGCGGCACGATGCTGATAATAAATGTTTATGCGATTCAGAGAGATCCGAAGCTGTGGAAAGAGGCGGAGAGTTTCAGGCCTGAGAGGTTCGATGAAGAAGAAGTAGCAGAAGGTTTTAAGTTCTTTCCCTTCGGTTCGGGAAGAAGAAGGTGCCCGGGAGAAGGGATGGCGAACCGAGTGTTGGGCTTGACGCTTGGAGCTCTGGTTCAGTGTTTTGAGTGGGAGAGAGTTGGAGAAGAAATGATTGATTTGAGTGAAGGGGAGGGGCTTACGCTGCCAAAGTTGGTTCCTTTGGAGGTGAAGTATAAGCCTCGTGAGGCTATGGTGAATGTTCTATCACAGCTTTGATCAGCTGTCAACTCTTATGGCTAACTCTTGTGGTGTTTAAATAAATAATTAAATGTTTTGTTATGTTTAAGATCTTGGAATATTTTTATTTAAAAAAGAATAAATATATTCATATTTTTATAATCAGTGCAGTAAGAAACTTGTTGGGTTACGATTTGAGCTAGCTACAACATTTCATTCTATCATTCATATGAACATCTCATGATCTGCGTTATACCAACCGATATTTTTCTTATATAATTCAAAGACCAGATATTTGGCTTTGCTTCCTTTTTTGAGGTTCTTCATTTTATTTTTGAATAAAATTTCATAACTCATTTGTAAAACAATTGAAACATGAAGATATATTTATTATTCATTAATTTTTGCTTTCAAAAATTGTGGCAACTATATTTTAAGAAAAGTCCATGTAAAATATATACCATTAATTATGAATCTTAAAAGCAGATTACAATGGGAAAAAGTTTGACATGTCATCAAGAAAATTCTATTGATCACGCATGAATCTTGATGCATCTTCAGACCAGAGGTTTTAAGAAACAAAATGAGCAAAGATAATAGAACATTTGGAGTATGGGTAAAAATCTCACCACATCAATAGGGAGACTAACTAATCTTTAAATTGGACAAGCTTATCATATAATTAAACATCTTAATCAGACAAAACTAACGAGTAAAAAATCGTCAAATTATGATATCATTAAGGCGCTCAAATATTCCAAAAATATTATGTGATCATGAGGATCACTCTGAGCCATTCGATGATACATTGGGTGGTTTGAATTTAAGCAATATTTATGGCGAATGTCACTCAAAATCTATAAATAGGCTTCTACTCTCTTCATAAACGGGAAACTTGGACTTTGAGAAAAACGACGTGAGGGAGCTCTAAGCTCTTGAGGATTCCCAAGCTTCATTATCACCCAACTGCCATTGTTGTTATCATGTCGTCGTTTGGTTGCCACCGCCTCTACCACTAAACTGCTTTTGCTCAACTGTTCTCAATATTAGTTTCACCAAATCGTCACTGCCAGACTACAATCGTTCGATGGCCATCGCCACCATCAGACCACAATCTACTGGCTGCCACCGTAATTTTCAATACTGAATCACTATTGTCAGAACACGGTCATCCAGTCACCACTGTTGTTATTTTTTTTCGTATTTTTATCACTTCAATAGTTTTGAAGAAAGTCACTCAAAATCTATAGATATATTTCTACTCATAAAAAATGGGAAACTTGAATTTTGATAAGAATGACTCGAGGAAGCTCCAAGCTCTTGAGGATTCCCGAGCTTCATCATCCCCCAATTGGCATCATAGTTGTTGTATTGAAGTCTGGTTGCCACTGCCACTAGCACCAGGTCACTTTTGCTCGATTGTTCTCGCTGTCATTGTCACCAAATCGCCACTTCCGGACCACCATCGTTTAGTAGCCATCGCTCCACCAGCCCACAATCTCCTGGCTGCCGCGATAATTGTCACTACTAAATCACTTTTCTCAGCCCACTGTCATCTGGCCACCACTGTTGTTATTGTCGTCGGATTATTAACACTTAAATATTTATGAAGAAAATCACTCAAAAAATATAAATAGACTTATACTCTCTTCATAAACAAGAAACCTAGACCTTGAGAAGAATAAATCAAGGGAGCTCCAAGCTCTTAAGGATTCTCAAGCTTTATCATCACCCAACTACGATTGTTGTTGATGCAAGGCCATATTGTTGCCACTACCGCTACCACCATACCGCTTTCGCGTGACTGTTCTTGTATCACTATCACCAAATTGCCACTGTTTGACCACCATCAATCGGTGGCCATCGATACCACCAAGCCACAGTCTCATGTCCACCATCGTAATTGTCACTATTGAATCATCTTTGTCAAACAAGATTTGTCTCGTCACCAAATTTTGTTATTATCGTCGGATTGTTACCACTTAAATATTTATGAAGAATGTTACTCAAAATTTATAAGTAGACCTCCAATATCTTCATCAACGGAAAATCAGAGATCTAAACTCTTGAGGATTCCCGAGCTTCATCATTGCCTAACTGACATTATTGTTTCCTTGTTTTTGCTACCGCCACTCCCACCAGACCACTTTCGCTTAATTGTTTTCATTGTCACTGTCACCAAATTGTCATTGTCAGACCAACATTGTTCGGTGGTCATCCCTACCACCATGCCGGCCATCACTGCAATTGTCACAACTGAAATATTATTGTCAGATCACCATCATCTGGTCACTACTGTTGTTATTGTTTTAGGATTATTACCACTTAAATATTTATGAAGAATGTCACAAAAAATCTATAAATAGATCTTTACTCTCCTCATAAATGGAAACCTTGACTTTGAGAAGAATTACTCTAGGGAGCTTCAAGCTCATGAGGATCCTCGGGCTTCATCATCGCCCAATTGCCATCATCTTTGCCGTGTCGCCGTCTAGTTTTCGCCGCCGCTACCACTAGTTTGCTTATTTTCAATGGTTCTCGATGACACTGTCAATCGATCATTATTTGGTGGCAATCACTAACACCCAGCCACGGTCTTCTCGTAGTCACCGTAATTATCACTACTGAATCACCTTCATTAGGCCACCGTCATTTTGTCACCATGGTTGTTATTGTCATCAAATTATTACCACTTAATTACCACAACTATCAGACCACCATCACCTAGCTACCACATATGCTAGACCTCTGTTGATTTACCGCCTTTGTCAATGTTGATCCACCACGTCAAACCACCATCTCTTAACATTTACAACTGGCAAACCACTATCAATTTACAGTCTCTACCATTGTCAAACCACCGCTATTGGATCACTATTATCTGATCACCATTGACTGACATACAAGGTATGTAAGCACACACATTGCACAATTAAATATTATGACAAGTCACATTCTCAGGATGATCACAAATAAAATTTTGATAGGTTAATTACTAATCTTATTTCCTTAATTTTTGTTCAACCAATAAAAAAAAGTTTTACTTTCTAATCCTTCACTAAATTTTCTAGGATATTAATTATTCAAAATATATTCTAAATTTTAAAGAAGTGAGACATCATTTTTGAATTTATGGTTCATTAACATATCACATTAAAAATGAAAGTTGTATTATATAACAGATGATTGCCAATTAAGAGTTAGTATATCTTTTAATCTCTTTTGATAGCTTAAAAATTATAACCTTATTGATTAATTCATCATATTCCTATATGAATTAAAACCAAACGATTGCATTAAGTTCCACTCTTAAGGGATAGCAAGCATTAGCTGAGTAAATTTTTATCTCGATTATTACTTGTTGGTATATCTTACCGTAGCAACAAATAATTCTTCCAGTATCCTTTAATGCTAGACACGTTAAATTGAACATTGATCATACGAGCAACAAAATTAAGCATAAGAAGTATCAAATAATTCTAATTATAATAAAAAATAGCAAACTATTGTATTAAGTGAAACAAGTTGGCAACACCAAGAACTAGGAATAAAAGTAAAATTAAGTCTTCATAAAATAATAATTTCAAAATATACTTCCAACAAAGATAAAATAGAAGATGAATATAAGAGTAAGAAGATATGAAAAATATAAATGAAGTATAAAATTTTAGCTATGCGCTCTTACTCCACCAATAGCTTTCACCTCTCTCCCACTTGGGATTCTCAATCATACACATACACAACTAAACCCGCTCGCTCACTCTCCAAGGATGCATTTTGGGTGGCGGTGCAGTGGCAGTATGACGTCGCACTGCAGTTTTTTTTTGTTTGGCAAAACAACAGTTTGCTTACGTTCTCAAAAAGTTACAATTGAAACCGACATTTTCCCACCAAACCTAGCTACATGCAATGGCTGCTAGAAAACTACGTTCTAACTTTTTCAAATATATATATATATATATACTAGCCACAATAATCTTTTGAATATTTTTTTTCTTAAAGAACTTCACAGCTGTATCTTCGGATAATTTATGCTACCCCAATCGACTCTAAAAAATTCCTTCCAAATTGAATGACAAGGGGCATCGTGTCGTGTTTGGTCTTCAGCATCACAGCACTTCTATATTGGCATTACATCACTTCAATGTAGAACTGCAAAGCTTTAATGTGGCAACGCAGCTCTAAGGCATGTCATTTGGATCTTCTGATCCTTCTAACACCAAAAATCTTCAATATTTTCTCATGCATTGGGTCCCTCGTCATTCTTCATAGCATAGTAGCGCTGACTACCAAGGAGCTGTGACACTTCTTTATATTTTGTACTTCTTCTCCTTCTATGATTATTTTTTTGTCACAAAATAATATAATTAATAATGATAAATATGAATTTTGACAAGTAAATTATCAATAATTTATCTCACATATCTCATTGAATAGGCATCCCTGAAGGACCACTATTGATTGGTACCTACTATAGTAAATAGACCATAGTAAATAGACCACCGCCACTGCCAACATACTATCAACGCTCAACCACTGTCGTTGAACCACAAGAGCATGATTGTCAATGCCATTAAACCACCATCTATCAGCCACCATTGTCAAATCCCCATTGTCATTGCCTAATCGCTATCGACGACATTGTCATCTAATCTCCATCATTTAATCCCCACCCTTCACAATCGAGTTGTTGCTACATTTGTTATCAATCATCTAATAGAAATCAACTCTATAACCTTTATTCCAGTAATATTATATTCTCCTATTCAAAGACAGGCAAAATCTTATATCTCACATCCATATAAAAGAATCATTTTAATTAGTCTGCCCAATCCTAAAATTCTAGTCCTATGTTACTCTGTTTCTAGGTCCATATGATTCTAAAACGTTACCATATCACTTTGCCATTACAAATTATCTTGCATGCAATGCATTTAATGGCCATTGATGTAGCCCATTTTACATGATGGAAACAAAATTTGATAATAGCTCGCTCATCTTTGGCTCGAAATTTGATGAACCAATTTGAACAATGCCTCAACTAGATCAACTTTAGCTCATGCAGACCTCTATTTTTCATATGAAATGAAATCGCAATTTAGTTGTATTAATGCAATATTTAATATCTTATTTTGTGGGGAATTTACTTCAATTTTTGCTCTAAAAATTTTGCTGATGTATGTAAATCTACCAAAAAGCACTTTCTTGTGTTATTCTAGATGATAGAATGGAGAAGCTGATCTTATTTGGCTTATCTACTCTAATTATAGTACCCTTTTCAAACTAGATTCATATATTTAGACTTTATGCTTTGGACTGTTATATTTATTTTGAATATACTAATATAAATTATAAATAAAAACATTGCTTTATTCCTAATAAAGGGTCATTTAAACGTCTAAACATTCTTATTTACACACATAGCAATGAAATCTTTAATATCACATATCAAAATTCAAAAATGACACTATTAGGACTTCTTTTCATGCATAGACTTAAAGCACCAAAGTGCTATGCATGTAAATATGTAAGTTTAGGTGTGAGTTTGTAAATACATAAGATTTGCGTGCTAGGTATGTAAATATTCCAAAAAAGACCTTGTACATGTATAGAGCCAAAGCCATCCATGTCCTCTCCTCTTTGCTTCTGCAAGCTCAAGTGATGACAAAAAATTAAACAGAGAGAGAGAGATGGGCAAAAAGAGAGAGCAGGCCGATGGTTTAATATTAGCTAGTAAGAGGCTTAGGGCTTGGAGCTCGCCAGAGAGATGGCGGCGTTTCTCTCCATGTTGAGAGCACTGGTCTGTGCCCACATATCAGCGCTGTTGCTTTCCGCCATTATCACCGTTCTCGAGACAGGGACTAAACAGAGTCCTCTCTTCCTTAAATACCCTTCTCTCCAATCCGACTCCATTGCTGACTCTGGTTCTTCTTCCATGTATGCAGAGCTCAGCACCTGTCAATGAAAACAGTAACATGAAAGGAAAAAAAAGAGACTATTTGCTTTAAAAAGATTCACTTTTTTTTTAGAATGATTAAAAAACCAATATAAATGCACTCGTGCGATCAAGTTCTTAACAGTGCCAAGTGACTGGTGACTCGATACAGAGAGAGGAGCAAGACCTTTACTTGATCATGAAGAAACCTAATGTATCCAAAAGCTTCCTGAAGAACAGACGCCGTATCCGACTGAAATCAGAGAAAAACAAGTTGCAATTCATATGAACCGCTTCAAGTTATAATTTTTCCAATCTCTGTTCCTCCGAAGAAGAAAAAAAATTACATTTTTAATTCTTCGAATACGTGGGTGAAGAAAAACACCGACCTTGCCAATGGGAGAGACAAGCTGTTGCAGAGCTCTGACATGCGAGCCCAGCTTCTCTTTCCCCATCTAATGACAATCTCAACTCCTTATACAATAAGATACAATTCTATTTAATAGTAATGTATTATTAAAATTAAATTTCAGAAGCCCACCTGAGCAGTTCTGGAAACAGGTAAAGCGTCCACCTTTGTCTTCTTGCGCTTACTACAGGTGGACATGGAAGAACCAAACTTGGCACATCCTCCTCCCATTCCGATGGAGGGCACTGTTTTCTTCACTTTCCCATCAATCAAAATTAGCAAACTCTCGAGTTAAAGAGAAGAAGAAGATGAACATACCATTCTAGTTCTGGGCTTGCAGTTATGATCAACAGAAACTACCCCAGCATTGTCATCGTCTTCTTCTCCACCAAAACAGAGCATCTGAACTTTTGATGTTGAGGAAGAAACAGAGATAGAACGACTGGTAGGGAATAAAACAAAACCAACCTCCTCATTTTTCTCGTTTGCGTGTTCTCTGTCATCATCTTTCTCAATCAATAGCTCCATGAAACTGCCTTTAAAGCCATCGGCGTCCATAGATCGTCTTCCATTATCTCTAGCGATGCAACTTTCCATTTTTTAGCTGACAAGTCAATGGAGGATGGAGAACAGTAATCCCAGGCCAGCTCGCTTGCTTCGATGTTCTAAGGAGGGAACAGGGAGTGAAGTACGGCTACTTTCTCTTCGTCTTTATCGCTTCCGTCTCGGTGGTGCTAAAAATTGCGAATTTATCGAGGAGTGTTGTGAACGTTGATGAAGGAATTGATGGTCATGATCAACTTTGCCACCACGCTGCTGCTGGTGGGGACGGCTTGATGTAGCACGGAGATCTTCGCAGACTTTTTGCGGGGAGCCGACGGGACGGAAAGCCACTGT